GTATATTACATTACATGTCAAACGTGTAGGTTATCACATCAGTTGGAAAGAATAATTTGTATGCTTAACATTGTTTTTTAATACAAGATTCATTGATCATGAAATTAGTGATACATCGAACATTTAATACTCATTATAGATTATTATTATTGAAATTATGATATGAGTTATATATTCTATATTATGAATTCATGTAAACATTATTAATGGGCTTATTATATGTTGTGTTATTAGTTTTAATTTCTATATTTACGTAATTATTATGGGATTAGTAATAATTATTAAAGTGGGTTCAACTGATAATATTGTATATTCTCTAAAAGGGAAAGTAAGTTATACCTCCATTGTAAACAAGGTATATCTGCTAACCCCCCCGCATGTTGGCCGCGTTCAGATAGTATAGAAAAAAAAGTTAATTACAATAACCTCCAACTTTAACCTTTAATAAGATACTTTTAATAGTCAATAAATATATAAAGGGTATTTTTGACTGTTTGAAATACCTTCATAAAACCGTGAACATTGTCTTTTCCTTTTTTATTAATGGTTGTTGACGAAATGGGGGTTTTATGTTATTGACGTTTATTTTTGGTAAAAAGCAACAAAGATATGGGTTTTTTTTTTTTTTTTGGAAATATCCCTTATAAACAACAATAAATATCTTTTGTTTTCTTTCTTCTTTTGGTGACTCGTAAGAACAACGCTGACCGTCCATTCTCAGCACACCAAAGAATATTCATTATAACTCCTTATAGATATTGAATCACTTTCCATTGGTTATTTACACTTTTATCCTTAAGATTTGGAGTATATTATTTACCCCTAATACCGGACATGAAAGGTTTAATTCAATTAGGTAAAAGTTTTCAATAAGAAGTTTAAATTACCCTTGTTATCTTATTTACATATTATTAGAAATGAAGAATTTTTTTTTTAATATATACATAAAAGTAACCCACTAAAAGTGGCCCCTATTATATATATACCAATTACTCTTATGAAAAGTTGATTTTTTTTTCATTTAGGCATAGTATTTTTTTTATACTTTTTTCTTTTGTATTTTATTAATTTCTAATAACATGTATATAAGACAACAGGGGCATTATAGGCTTGTTATTGAAAAATATTATCTGATGGGATTAAACTTTTCATATCCTATAAATACTGAAGATTAGTGCAGCTCCAAACCTAAAGGATGAAAGTACAAATAACCCCTTCTGTCTATCTACAATTATTAATTAATATGGTTAGTGACATTAATCTGCCTTATTTATAATAAAATAACAAAAATCTCCTTAAGGTAGAGATTTCAAAAATGACAAAAATTCTCTTACCATTAAATTCTAGATATTATAATAAAAGGATTATTATTAGTTAGATGACACTTTCATTGTAAACTTATAATTATAGGAAACTTAACAATTTAAAATTGTTAATTTTAATTTTATTAAAGGTATTAAGGTAATTTATGTGTAATATAGTTTCATATAAAATAAGTTTTTTTTTTTTTTTTAATTACAACAATTTGAAAAAGAAATCAACAAGAAAATGAAACATATCAAAATAAAAATAAGCGAGGATACATAAAAAAAAAAAAAATTAAAAAAATTAAGGAATTTTCTTTAACTATACTTTATATTTTAGTTTTAATTTTTTAAATATATATATTGCTTTATTTTTTAATTTGTACAATCGTGTGTGTGTATATATATATATATATTTTTTAAATTTAGCTATTTATTTTTTGTTTTGAATTTTTTTAAATAATAAAATCACTCGAAGATGAATATTTCAGTCATCTAAAATATTTCAATTAAAGTTAACGGTTTTATACCGTTAAGTATCCTCTAATTATTTTTTAATATTTGTATCTTATAATTATATATTTTTAATGAAGATATCCCCTGATTGATAATAATCATAAAATAAATGATTAAAAAATAATTTAATAATTTTGATTAACTCATTACAGAAGAAATTTCAACAATTTACAAATAAAGAGAATTTTTATTATTTTAAAACATAAAAAGAATTATTATATGATCGCATTCGAACAAAAGAAGTTTCCATTAAATAAATAGAAATCCACGTGTCGTTTATTGAACTTGCCAAATCAATTTTTCCGCACTAAAAGTCAAAGTGAGACGGCTGCCTCCCTTCTCCCATCACCTTCTACTTCATTTTCTTCCATTAGATTCTCAATTTCTAATTCTTTCTTTTTCAATTTTGATTCCCACAAACCCTAGAATTTCGCTTCCTTATGGTCGAAGGCTCTCCTTGCTCCGTCCAACTCATCACTAGCAATGGCAACTTCAAGGTCGACAGTCTCGACAACTTCCTTTATGTCACCAACCTTCTCGCCATCAACCTCCCCGATAGTGACCTTTCTTACACCATCGTCACCATCATGGGCTCACAAAGTAGTAGTATATATGCTTTTCAAGTTCATTCCTTTTATTATAAAATAGATCATGAAGTCAGTAATTCATTGAACGTTAGCATACACATTATTAATACAAATGTTATTTTATGTTATGTTATGAGTCTTATATTCTATGGTATGAATTCATATTGAACGTTATTATTGAGTTTATTATATGTCGTGTTATTAGTTTTAATTTTTATATTATGGCTTATATTATATGTTCATTATAAACAAGAGAAAGCTATTTAATGTATCCTTTTATTTTTTATAAATTATAATCTAATATATTTTTAATTGGTTACTCTAGTACTAGAGTCACTAGAATTTTTTTTTTTTTTTAAATTATTCTCCGAATTAGTATTAGAATTAGAGATCATAATTTCTTTAAACTAACATATAAATTACCTAATTATATTCTTATGAAAAAAATTAAGAAATAAAATATATTGTTTTTAAGAAGGAATAGTAAATGTATATAAAAGTGAAGAAATTGGATAAACAGTCTTATATTAAGGTAGTTAAGGAAATGTCAAATTTCCATTTGACCCAGTAATTATTTCAAACAGAAAAGAAAAGTAGTTTTCTTTCTTGGTTAGGTAAATACTGTATTTAGTTTAATTTGAGCGTAAGGTTTACGCCTTAAAACCGCGTTGACTCCCTTTGGATGTCATTGAATTTGCCAAAACAAGCCGGCTACTCTTCGAGTAAAAAAGACAACGGCCCATGAAAGAATAATCACACTCTTAAAATATTGTAGAGTTCCTAACACCCTGAGGTTTATAAGTAATGATTCCCCCCTAAGATTTCAGAAATAACAAAATCCTCCTTTTATTATGAGTTGTTAGTGTACTCTTAGAATTTATAAATATGATGGGTTAATAAAATTTATGATACTGCTCCTCTACTGTTTATTTTAGCACAAAAACTTAGTGATAGGAGCATTTTGTTATTATTATAACATATTTGTGGCACTTCAAATTTTAATCATATTTTAGGGGTATTTATGTTATAACCCTAGTATTCATAAATCACATGAAAGAATATTCATTTCGATATGATATTAAATCAATCACTTTAAACCAACGTACACTAACGAAAAAAAGTTTCAAAAGTAAAGAGAAACCCACGTGTCGTCTCGGAAGTCAAGTCAGTTTTGTCTTTATTATCCTCTTCCAGTTCCTCCACCTTCTAGTCTTCTATTTGTGAGCTGTGACGTCACTTCATTTTTCTATTAGACTCTCAATTTCATATTTTCTTTTTCAATTTGATTCCCTCAACCCTAGAATTTTCGCTTCCTTATGGCTGAAGTCTCTCCTTCTCTGTCCAAAATCATGCCGGTAAGGCTACTCAATGTCGACGGTCTCCACCACTTCGTCCGCGCCACCAACCTCCCGATCGCGGGGCGCGACTACTCCGTCGTCGCTATCGTGGCCCACAAAGTAGTGGTATATTGCTTCTGAAGTTCGATCTTTTTAAATTTGTTCCAGATTTCATGATTTATGAGTTAATTGAAAGTTTCCGCTTTGGTTTTGTGTAATAATAAATATGATGTTGCAAAATTTCGGTTTTTATTTTTATTTTAATTAATGTAAGGTTTTTTCACGTTTTCATTGTGATTTAATGCTCTGTTGGCTTAGTATCTTTTTTTTCTTTTTATTCTAATGGTGAACAGGAAGAGTACTTTAATGAACCATCTTTTTGATACAAAATTCAAAGAGATGGATGCATTTGAAGGAAGGTTGGTTGTTTGAGTTTTTAATTCGTTTATTTTGCAGCTTAATGTAAGAGATTCGTAAATTTATTTTATTTATTTATCATTTTGGGCAGGAGTCAGAGCAACTAGGGAATTTGGATAGATAAGTGTGCTGGCATTGAACCTTTCACCATTGCCGTGATTTAGAGGGAACTGATGGCAGTGAAGAGGCGAGGTATAAGCTTTGTGTTGATATCTTCAATTTGTAACGGAAATGGGGTTATGTTTTTTCTGTGAAGAAGGCCTGCGTAGCATATAGATCTTAGTTAATTTTCTGCAGTTATATTTGGCAGTACATATGAGTATAATATGCCATATGGGTGTTAATAGAAGATTCAGGAATTTTCATATGTGTTCAAAACACCTATTGACTCACAGATACATCAGAACTGTGCCCCCTGAATTTTAGTTTAATTGTATTAGCACTGAAACCAAATAATACACGATGCTTTGTGGGAAGGTGCTGTTATGAAAACTTTAAGCAAGCTAGTTACTGAGTGTGTGATATTTATTGCTCTAAGTTAGGGGCTGAACCGGGTTGACAATTTATAAGAGAATCATGATATTTTTTCTTTATAATGGCAAACCGAAGTGAAATCCTTGCTATCGTCAAGAGGTGATGTTCATTCATTATTTAAGTTTGATTCTGGAGAACCCTGTCAGAGTCAGACCAAATTCACAATTTGATCTTTGTGAGGCTTAAAGTTATTTACAGTGCTTTATGTTCTAGGGATGCCTGGAGACATATTTTGCCCCTTCATTTGGGCGGAATTGTATGATTAGTGTTGATACATTTTCATCACCAAAAACTGTATCTGAAATTTTTCAGGATGACACTGCATTCGAGAAGCAGAGTGCCCTGTTTGCTTTGGCAATTGCAGATGTTGTAGTGATAAACATGTAGTCTCTTTGATCTAGTATATAGAGTTGCAAATAATTTGGCATTACAGACACGAAATTGGTTCGGGAATACTGCGTTGACAAGTACAGGCTTTCCTACAAAAAGGAGAATGGCCTTGGCTAATTAGGCCTGGTTAAACAAATTAGAGATAAAATAGGTGTTGTAAACAACATATCTATATGATATGTGCAAATATTAATATTCTTGGCATGATCTGGATAATCTACTTCGGTAGTAGCTTCAGTTATGCATGTGAGTAGTCTAGGCTGGTCTCTAGGCCTGCCATTCTCTAAGGTTGCCTAAGGTTTTTAAAATCTGGATTTCTCTGGTCCATCAACCTATATGGCGTACATGGTTTCTCTTTGCTGTTACTTTGGCCGCCAATGTGTGTTTTTTAAAGAGTATCTAAACAGGCATGGTATCATTGCTCTGATAGGAAGCAGCATTATTAATTGTGATTGATGTTTAAAAACCACTGTATCAGGAAAGTTTTAGCAATTTATATTCCCCCCCCCCCCCCCCCCACCAAAAAAAAAAAAAAAAAAAAAAAAAGATCGTGAATTCTTCTTTTTTATCTTTGCTGTTGCTGTTGTCTGTACATAAGTTTATTTTTCTTTACAAAATTTGATTTGGAATGGAAGCCTTTGATCAGAAATGGACACTGTTTAACATTCAGATCTATATCCTAGAGTTTCTTAAATGTGTGGACTAGAGGCATAGAAAACTCATGGTAACACAAACGTTTAGATGTCACTTCAAGTGTAATAAAGTGTTTAATGTCATATGTAGTTGGTGCCATGATATCGGTCGGGAGCAGGCTTCCAATAGACCTCTTCTTAAAACAGTTTTTCAGGTACTCTAGCCAGTTGTACAGGGTCAATGTGTTGTTGTTTTTATTGTATATAACAATATTCTGCTTATTTCACATAATGATTGGTTTTCTGTGCTGTGTGAGGTCATGATGCGTTTATTAGCCCACGTAAAACAACTCTTCTATTTGTTATACGTGATAAAACAAAGGTGTGCACTTGCACTTTATATTTCCTTTACTCTTCATTCCTTTTGTGGAAGGGCCTATCTCTTCTCTTTTGAATCAATAACTATTCATGACTCTCCTTGCAGACCCCGCTTGAAAAATAGAGTCTAATTTAGAGAAGATACAGAAGGTATATTTATTTATGTTTGCTCACATTCAATTTGTTCGTTCTTTTTTTTTTTCCTCAGCATTTTGATAGTCGGTGATTTCTACAGATTTGGGAAGCAGTTCCTAAACCCCGGGAACATGAAGGTGCTCCTCTCAGTGAGTTTTTAATGTAAGTAAATGTTCTCTAATTTTCTCTAAATGTTCTCTAATTTTCTCTCTATCTCTATGACTGATCATTTTCTGGAATTGCGTTAAATTTTACCTTTTCATTTATTACTCGACATGTAGGTGGGGGTCACTGCTTTATCTAGCTATGAACAGAAGGAGGAGGAGTTTAAAGAGCAGGTAACCATTAATAGATTAGGAAGTTTATCAAGCCTTAACTAATATGGGTTCGACCGTTACTGGTTCAACCGAATTTGGAGGTGTTGTAGCATTTCTTCAGTCTTCATATGTTTACCTAAATAATCAGTGTTCGAAATCTTTGGCATTGTGGTATATTGGCTAATTAAGCATTACAGATTTGTGAAATAAATAGCTTACAGTTCATATCTAGAGTCTTACAGTCTGGACATGTTATACACGGTTGCTGAACTGCGGCACGTGTTTTCCATTCCATCTCTCCAGGAGGACTAGCGGTGATAGACAAGGAGTTGTTCCTGCCTCAGGATTTTCCTTTAGTGGTACAGCAGATATGGAATCTTATAAAAGAAAACAAGGACCTGGATCTTCCTGCTCTTAAGGTTTTTAATTTTCCTTGGGCATATCTTTTTTGTTCTTTTTTCAATTTCATTGATATATATATAACATTTTTTTTAATTAAGAAATATTTGTTAACGTAATCAGGTAATGGTTGCACTTTTCGGTGTGAGGAAATGCCAATGAGAAGCCCGTCTGTGTCAGTTGATGAGGTTCTTTACATACATCTCCCTTGCGGGAATTACTTGTTGATCGAAAAATTATGTTAGCCGTACTTAAATGATTTGTTGCAGGTTTGGTTGGCTCTGAATGAAGCTATTCAAGTGGGTCCTGTCCCAGGATTTGGTTAAAAAGCTTAGCTCCGTTCTAGATACTATCTTCAGAGTAAGTTCACATTCGTGTCTGATATATTATCAAATCTAATAAATGATTTGACTGTTTTTAATAGTGATGTAAATCTCTCAAAATACATCTGCAATTGTATTTAAGATATTTCATGAGGTGCTTGTAAGACTACCAGCAGCCAAGACCATGGCTACGTAGAGAAAATTTTGTGTGTATATTTATCCTTAAAACTTTTGTGGATTGCTTAGAAGTCAATGATAATTGATATTTAACTGAAAGTAAAAGATCTAAATTATTCTAAACTCCCTAAAGTTATAGAATTTAGAATGACTACCTCTACCCCTATCTGTGATGTTTTACCGGATATTGTGCAATGACAGTCTTGGAGTATTTTCTTTGATCCAAATCTGTTGGAAGCCTGAATCTGATCTTGGTTTCTATGCTAAATTCTATTTTTCATAGTTATGACAAGGAAACGATTCTACTTGATGAAGTGTTAAGAATTCGAAAACGACAAGATTTGGAGTCACAAGCAATTATGTAAGGTTCAACCTACTTATTAAGTATGTTTTCATTTTTGCTATTGATAAAAAGAACTTCTATGAAATATCATGAGTATGTTAACTTACAGGCAAAACTTTATGTTTTCATGCGAGGGCACCTAAGTATCTTAACAAATAGATGCACTTTTTATTTTTATGCTATCAGTTACGATTTCCAAATTTGTGTCAATGGTGAGTAGCTTACTGCATGTTTGGTTTAATATTTTATCCCTATTCGGATCCTATTCTCCAAATAATGTTTGGTACAATATTCTAAAAATATTACCCTATTTTTTTAATTACATTTTACACCCATAAGGTTATTAATTTCACTAAATACCCCTGAAAAAAAGTTTAAAAATTAACAAAAACACCCCCATAACCCAACTTGTCAGATTCCGGCAACCACCGTCGGTGTAGCCGGAATCTGTAACGGACCTAACTTCCGACCAAAAATGGCCGGAAGTCACCGCTGTGGCCTTTTCGGGCCAGACCACCCCGGATCTGGCCGAAAAGGCCAGATCTGGCCGTCAGCGACGGCCAAAGAAATGGCCGTCGTTGACCGAAAATGACGGCCACATCTTTGGCCGTCGCTGAGGCCAAAGATGGCCCTCGTTTGGCCTTTTCGGCCGTCGACAGCCATAACACAACCGTAGATCTGGCCTTTTCCGGCCAGATCCACCATGGATCTGGCCGGAAAAGGCCATAACGACGTGTTACGGCACAGATCCGACTAGTCTGTGCCGTAACGAAATTTTCCGGCACAATTCCGACGGGGGGGCCGGAATCTGACACTACAGGTGGTGGGGGTGTTTTTGTCATTTTATATGTTAGGGTCTTTAGTTAAATTAGTAAACCTAAGGGCTTTTTTACAAAATTTTAAAATTTACCTCGTAATACTCCCTATCCAATAACCCAATACTATCCCTAAAATCCTATCCAAAATACTAAATCAAACGCACCCTTAACTATTTTCCATGAATCATTAAAATGCAAAGTTGTACTGAATTTGGGGTGGTCATAACGTATGCCCTAAAACACAAGTTAAGTACAACAAAGAACAACAATTCTCTATGCTATTCATTTACAAGACAAATAACTTATTTTATGCACTGATATCATCAAAATTTTGTATTTAGTGGCTTATCCTACTGCACATTTCAGTTGCCACATCATTTTTTTTCATTTTGTTTAATATCATTATTTTTCATTCTCTAATCAAATCATGCTACATTAGTTTGTATATGTTAGTTCATATGGAGAGTTTGTAGCGTTGTATTATTTGTTATGAATATGACTACGAGTGGGCAAATCAGGAGAGCTTCCTGTTATTTTGACAACAGATGGGGGTTACATTAGTTTTTTTTTTTTTTTTTTTTTAAATAGAAGGTTCATCTTGTTCCTGTAGGTTTTATTATTTTATGTTTGTTCATTTATCACAATGTCCCTTGAATTTTCCAGATTTTCCACCCCGCGTATAATGCATGTTGGATCATCTATATTCTAAAGTGTTTGATAGTTTTAAGATCAGCTTGGAACAGTCACATAACGAAGGGGAAGGTTTTTGCTGCTGTGTTCGCACTCGTCTTCAATCTTGTCTGCTGGAGTGTGACACAAGGATGTGCTGGTAAGAAAACTTAATAATTTGCGTCCTTATGAGTTCTCTGCATGTTCTTTTATTTGTACAAAATTGATTGGCTACTGACACTTTTGGTAAAGTGATAGTCAATCTTTGTATTTTGTTCCTCTATTGGACTACTAGTTTTTACAGAAAGTGATCTGTAACTTCTCAACTGTTTCTGTGATCTAAGCCAAATGCTTCTCTTCATTTATTGTTTTTTATTTGCATCTTCTTGATTACTGCATTTCCCTTCAACTGTGAGCTAGACCAACTGTAAACTAGTTTTCCTTCATGATTGACCTATTAATTTGTTTACTTGCAATTCAACGACTTGTTCTTCCCTTCCTCAGATGTTGCTATAAGACAGACTAATTGGGATGCTTCAAAAGTTCGGAAGAACTCACCATGACATTAGAACATGCATCAATGGTTTGCCGTGCAAAGCTGTCTAAAATCAAAGCTAACTATGAGGTTATTTTTTGGTTAATGCACAATTATTATTGTAATCATTGTCAATGATTTTTTTTTTTTTTTCTTTTTAAAACCTTTCATTAATGTTTATGAATGACTAAGTACTGATACCATATTGATGTGCGGAAAAATTGTCTGCAGCACTTATGAACCTATGAAATATCTATTTGAAGTTGGTTGAGGACATTGGGCTTCAGTAAGAAGGCTTCTTGAACGTGAGACTAAAGCTGCGCATTTGGGCTTCGAATGCAATTGCTGGTTTTGAGTTGGACAAAGCTAGTAGTGATGCAATGGTTCAAAATTTAAGGAGCTATGCAAGAATTGTGGTGGAGAAAAAAGCAAGAGAAGAAGTTGGCAAAGTTTGGTCCACATGAAGGATAGGTAGAGAGCTTGATTGTGGTTTGTAGATTGTCTAATCTTAATTCATCGTTGGTGCATAATACCTTGGAATTTATTTCAGATTCTTAATAGTCTTCAATCATGACAAGATTCAATGCCAAGGTTTTGGCTAGAGAAGTGGACATTAAGACTATTTTGAAGAATGCCCAGTCTGCGGTAATTTTTAAGGATTTTAATGTGAGGGAGGGAGTTAAATTAGCTTTACACTGATAACACCTAACTATTTTTTTGTCATTGGTTTCTTCTAGTCACTAAGGGTACTGTCAGACATGGTTGTTATACGCTTGGATGAGAAGCCAGATATGGTTAGAAACTTACTTTTTTCCTCACTTATGGGTGGAACTGTTGACACTCTAGCCTCAAACACATGGGAGCAGGTAGTACTGTGTTTGGTCTTATTGTATTATCATTTTCTTGAATCGTATTTCTCATTTATAATGGAACATGTGCTAGGTTTCTCCAAGCGATATGTTGAAATCACCCATAGAATGTATGTATTTGTGGGATCAATTCAAGGAAGAGACCAAGTATGTGGTCAATCAAGCAATGTCAGCACAGGTAAATTATTATACACTACTTGTTAGAAAATTTTGTTAGCATATATCATTGTATAAGTTTATGCTACAAATTTTAAGCTATGAGTTTGCTAAATTTATGTTGACGTGTTAGTATATATGACTGTTTATTTATGGCAGGAGGCTCACAAACCACGTAACAATTGGTTACCCTCTCCATGGGCATTGGCACCTGTAGTTGCTGCATTTTTTGGCTTTGCTACTGATGAGGTCAAGGAAAATATGTGATTGTTGTCATGTTTGTTTTATAGCACTGGACAACACTAAAACCTTGTTCTGTATTAAATGGTTTTAGTATCTTGTTTGACGCACAGGGGATTTTTTTTTTTTTTTTGTATAGGATAATAAGTAAATATATTACCCTGTAAAAAACACTAAACCGGCCATGACCACGATCAGTTGACCACTCTATTTTAGTGGACTGTCCAAGACTCTAATCGTTATGGTCAATTATCATGTGTTGACCATGCTCTTAATTTTAGATATTATGTTGAGATTTCCAGAATATTTTGTAATCTCCTATTTTTGTCAGTTTTAAGAAACTCACGATATTATGTAATCTCCAAATTATGTTAGTGTTTTGTGTAATCTGAAACTGACATAATTAGGAGATTCAATGAATTGTATTCTATCTATATAAAGACTGTAACTATGTATTGAAAATAAATGAATTAAAACTGACAATTCTTCATTCAAATATGACATTAAAGCCACTTTCTGATCTAAAAAATTGCTCATTGTAGAGCAATCGCTGGTGAACTTTTGGCGAGTAACCATTCATCTTGTCATCAATCCAAGAAGGAGAAAACGATCTACCCCAATCAACCCAAACACCAACCTCAACCAATCAAACCAAACCACCACTGCCATATCCATTTCATCTCAAAATCCTTATCGGCAAAAGACAATTCTAGCCATCTTCAACTCTCCAACCATTGCAACTCCAACACTCTCCCAATCAACTACCATAAACCAAATAATAGCCATCAAATCCAGCATTAGTAGGACCAATCTGTCCGAGCAACTCACATCACCAAGACACCCAATCAAAGCAAGCAAACCATACCATCAAACAGTGGCGGACCTAGGATTTTTGCCCAAGGGGGCTCGTCGCTCCGCCACTGTTTGCCAATCAAGTAGTGAAAACATAAGAAAATAATTCACAAGAAAATACAAGAAAATTTTTACGTGTAAAAACCTCTTCAATGTGAAGAGATAAAAAAAACTACGGGAATCTAACGACCCACTTAAATCCAATATAATCAAAAGAATTTGCAACAACCACAAATCCACCAAAAATATTCTACACAAATTTAGAGCTCAATTACAACTCTAACAAAAGTAAGATACTCAAAGGTTTACAAAGAGATGGATTACAATCACTTCAAATCCAGATCCAGACGTTAACATTCTAACTCAACCGTCTATATTAAAGATCCACACATCCTTTGCGTATTGACCCAAAAATCAAGTTAGAATGGTATACCTAAAGATCTAAATAATATGAATATTAATTTTTTAAAGATGAAAGCAAGTTAGAATAGTATACCTGAAGATCTTCAATTTAACACGATTTTCCGCTTCATTATGTCTTGAAAATGTTCAATGATATCGTCATTTTGAATTGTAGCAAAGACTTCCTTTTCAATGTAAACTACTAAGCAATTGTTCATCCACTCGTCTCCCATTTGATTACGCAAAGTATTCTTAACAAGATTCATTGTAGAGAACACCCTTTCAACTGTTGAAGTAGCCACAGGCAAAACCAGTGCTAATTTAATAAGCAAGAAAACTTTGTCGTAAGCAACATCCTTCTTAAACTCAACCATTTTTTTTTTTTGCAAGATCGGCAATCCCATCAACATGAGTGAAATTGGCATTGGTGCTAACATCCTCATAATAGTTTTCAAGTTGATTATTGAGCAACCAAATATCGTGTTGAGGAAAATCGGTAGGATAGAACTTTGCAAACTCAAGTAATCTGTCTTTATTAAATGCAGCAAAAGAGTTACTTGGATCAAGAGATGCCATACACTGAAGCAACTCCATATTTACTTCATCAAAACGATTATTGAGTTCTTCTTGAATGTTATCTAAAACTGTGTACATCAATTCCACCTTAAAATGATATTTATTTGTAATTGGAGCAATTCCTCGTTTTGTCCTCCCAAAATTATCTTCCATGTTCTCCGGGATTGGTATGTCATTATCTTTACACATATTATAAGCTTCTTTCAACAATATGTCGAAGCAAGTGTCTTCATTTCTCAATTTATGCAACCAACACTTCGAAATTTGTACAAACTGCATGACATTAAGGAGATCTTGATCTTTTCTTTGTAATGCTTGTGACAGTTCATATGTGATTCCTAATACTTTCTTCATCAAGAATAACAAAAATACGAATTCAAAATTCTCCATGATTCGTAACAAACTCCTTGCTTCTTTTTCTTGGTGTTGTTGTCTCTGTTGTGGGGTTTCTTCTTCTAATGGGGTTTGATTAACCTCAATATCAATAGAGTCCCCATCAACATTTTTTGCTGGACTTTTCTTCAGTCTCTTGAAATAATTGGATATCATAATCTTATTTGTTAATGCTTTGGATTCCAAATCCAATAAACATATAATGAATTAGTATCAAAGTGGGATCCCAAAAATAAGAGACAAAGAGATTCCTATTAAAAAAAAACTAATTGATTTAGCAACTTAATTTTCTCTTGAACAAGATACATGAACAAACCATGATACATTTAAATTCATGATACATGATACATGATACATAAGACATATTTTAATTTAACACACCTTTTAACACACGTTACACACCATATATAATACATTTAAATATTTAATTTCATAGAGGCCATTCGTTTATATAGAGTAGGCGCCCATTGTGTGGTTTAGAAAGGAAGTTTAAAAGTGATAGTGACAATCTTCTTTCTCACATACAAACAAGAGCCAGGAAAACAAAGTCAAAGATAATAGAAAAGATTTCTTTAACCTATTATTTGTCTCACTAAAACTGGGTCCGCCACTGCTAAAACTTTTCACCCAAACCCAATACTCTAAAACTGCAGGCATTAATAAGATTCTTCAAAAGCAGTAACATGTCATTTTCTTGCATATTTTCCTGCAGTTTTCAATATGATTTTAACATCAATCTTACATACCTATTCGGCTATTCCCTTGCCCTTTCTCCGCATTTTATAGCTTAAAGCACGCAAAATAATTAGCAGCAAAGCAGCCAGTTCTTCATCTTCTTCATTGTTCTTGCAAGGCTGCAACAATATAAATATTTATGTTAAATTATGGATTTGACCATCTAAAGAGCTTATTTAAACTTAAAACTTCAATATTTTAGTAGACTAACCTTCAGGCTTTAGGAGACGTGAATGAGAGAAGTTGAGAAAGGGATTTTTTTAATTTCTGGGTTGAGTTTCAACCGCATGTAAAAAGGGAGTTGGGAACTGGGGAAGAAAAAGTTGAATAAGGAAAAGATAGAACCTAACTTTTTTTTTTTTAACCTTTTATTTTATTTTTTAATCTTCCATAAAAAAAACTTTGCAATTTTTTTTAAAAAGTTGAGGGCAGGTCTGGGCCTACCCTCAAGGGGCCTGGGTCCGCCCTTGCCATCAAACCCATACCATCATAAATCATACCATCTAATCCATACCCAACTTTCATCAAACCCAATTAGAAATCCATACCCAATCAGAAATCCATACCCGAAGCCACCGCCGCCGCCAAATTCCAAACATCGCCGACAGAAGCCCAAAGCCAAAACGCTGCAGGTCTGACCCCTACACCTTTGGCTGTCGCCATTAACTTTGCCTGCTACTAACACTATGCCTACATAACCGGCTGTCGCCACCATATTCAACCGTTGCTAATGTCATCAATCTGCTGTCACCAACTCCGATCTGTCGCCGACGACTTTGATTTGGCGCTGTTGTGCCGTCGTGAATCGTCTCCTTTTTCTTGGTCCAAAGAGAGTTTATTGCGTTTGTTTACCTTTGTTTTAACTTTTTTCAATTTTTTTTTATTCTTTTATTCTCAAGTTATATTAAAAAAAAAAAAAAACAAAGAGTAACAAAAAAAAGGGTCAAAAAGTTAAAAAAAAAAAAAGAGTAAAAAGAATAAGTAACAAAGAAAAAATGATGTGTGGAGAAATTCTACGCAAAAACCCGGTTTTGAATTTCATTGAAACTTCAACAATGGTAGCTCATAATGAGAGTCAGCATGCACAGATGAAACCCGATAAGCCCAACAACAACAACAAGAGAAGTTCTATTGCTGTTGTTGTGGAAAAGAAAAAAAATGTCAAACAATATGTAATCTCTCACTAGGCAAGTATTCACTGAGTATTCTATAGAGAGAATCCAAAGAATTGCTAGCTTAGAAAGGGTGTTTGTCTAAATTTGTTATCCTCAATCTAGTTATAAAATACTATCACACAATGACTATTTCTCACATATATAAAAATAATAAGAATCATTTTCTAATGACCCAGAAAGCGTGAAGATGTTCTCTAAATATTATTACTACAAAAAATACATACAGAAATCTACATTAATTCCTTCACTGAGACAGTGTGTTCAACCCTCTCGCCAGCTTGATGTCTAAAGAAAGCAACGAGGTGAGCTATAAATGCTCAGTAAGTAAATCAAATCTAACTGTGCTCTTACTCCGCTGTCCCCATTTTCGTTGTACTACTTCTAAATTTCTGCTTGCTTTCTCTCTTTATTCTCAGGCGTACTACTTAGCAGTCTTCTATTTTTCTCAAATCTTTCTAATGCTATGCTATTCTTTATCATTTTATTTCTCTTCTCTACTAGATTATATCTTTCTATTTCTTTCTCTACTCAACAAATTGTTAAGTTTCCTTGCTATTTGTCATGTTTCTAATTTCTATTATTTTCTAGCATATATTAATTTATGTTCCTTTCTCGTATATCTCTAATTTCTTTTCTATTCTTGTAGGCTTCAATTTTCTTTTCTTCTCTATTTTCATGGGCTTTTATTTTATTTTCTTCTCTATTTTTATGGGCTTCTATTTTCTTTTCTTTTCTATTTTTATAGGCTTCTATTTTCTTTTCTTGGCTAGTCAGACACGCTATAATAAAATAAACTCTTTAATCTATGCATAAATGCATCAAAGGCAATGCACATAAAATGTCTAATGCATATGCAAATGATCATGTTTGTATTCTTTCTCAAAATTCTTTTATAATTCTTTCTGAAATTCTTTTCCTTTCTTTCTGTTTTCTATTTCTTATTCTATTTTTCTTTCTTTTTCTCTTTCTGTATTCTGTCCTGGTTTGCCGATCGGACTAGGCTGAGGCATGGATTTGGAACCCTAGCCTTGTGAGTATATTCTAAAATTCTTTCTGGGTACAGTCCTCATCCACATGCACTTCTAGTGGACTGTACAATTCTGTTTTCTATTCTGAGGCCGCTCACTGATGGCGACGTGCATGTGGGAAACTTCTGCTTCTCTGTCGCCACTAACTAACGCAGCGAATGCTCATAGGTTTCCCATCGCAACAACCTTATGAAAACATGCCCTGTAAATCTGAAAAATAACTAGCTATAAATTTTTCAATAATTTTAAAATTTCTAAAATACATGCTATGCTATGTCATGGATTTATATGCTGTCTATGCATGATCCCAAAATACGTGTCTGACTCTGGCTTGTATTCTATTAATTCTAAGGCTTTTATTTCTATATTTTTCTAGAAAGCCCAAAGTTCTATTCTAGTAACACGCTTAACTTAAACATTTTCTATTTTATTCTTTATTTCTGAATTCTATGCATCGTGTGTACGTACGCAATTCTATAATTTCTACATAATTATGTAATTCTTCAATTCTATCATGCTATGTAAAATGTACATGTACACAATTGCATTATCTCTCACAAATTCTACTCTTCTATAATTATATTAGTAAGATATTAAAACGGCACAATTCAACTAAGGAATGAATTCTACATTTTGGGCAATCTAATTTCTTCTATAAAAATCTATGCCACAACTTAGGTATTAAGTCTACTAACTTGCCCAATTATGCTACTAGATTTTCTCAAAAATATATATATATATATATATATATCACATAACCATGTCATTAAACTACTCTATAATATTTTCTAATGTTACAAACATGCCTCGTACAACTTTCTAATTACAAATTTTGATGCCATAAATTTGCATTCTCTTAACATGACCATCAACATTGTTATACATGTCCTTCTTTCTTCTTTTCTTTTGGCTACGTTATATACATTAATCTATATTGTCATATTAATAATTGTAAACAATGTTCCAAAAATCGGACCGGACTATGACCCGTTCAAGGGTCCGATTTTCGGTTTGACCGGTTGGATCGGTCAGTTGTACAGTATTCTATAAAATTATCCTTTAGTCCCTAAAGGTTTGAAATTCATTAAAAACACCCCTATATACTCCCTTAAGGTTTGAAATCTATCTAAAACACTTTTGTTGCGCGAAGAAACTGATGAGTGGTGGCGGCAGCGACGATCGATGGCCAATCGAAGTTGGAATCATGAGGCTTTTGATGTATAGGTTCTAGCGAATCTGATGGTGGTGCTAGGGAGTTCCATCGGCGTCGGAACTCGCCGGAATCAACCAAAGAAGCCCCATGGTCGCGTAAACTTTAGGTGGACAATGAGCGATGAAGGCTGGACGATGGCGACTGAAAATGGCTGGGTTTTGCCGTGGAGATGCCGTCACGTCGAATGGTGGTGTTTTCTCCGTCAAACGATGTTGGAATTCGGCGGGATTGAGCGACGATTGGACCGCAACTTGGCAGTATTCCAACGGTCCAACCGCGGCTCAATCCGGTTTAATGGGAAATGGCGGTTTTTATGAGATGCCGGACCAGAAATACCGCCGACTCCTGGTCCAACCGGACGGTCCGGTCCAGTTTTCAGAACCTTGATTGTAAATACAATCTAACATATAGCACAACATATATATTTTGGCTAAATTCTAATTTCTTTCTAACATTCTTAACTAAACTTTTGGCCAATACAACATATTCTCAAGATCTTCTAGCGCAATTCTATAGGTTGTAATATATAATAAGGCATGAAAACTATACTCAAACCAATCAATTTCTAAAATGGTCATGTATTTAATACATAAACCAAACTTCTATTTCTTTAATGTTTCTTTTGATATCTATACTTGGGAAAGCTTTTCTATTATTTATACAATAAAATCACTTATTACGTATAGTTTATAACTAATCTCAAAACAAGAAACAACAATATCCTCATTTGGCTAAGCCATTCTTTGAATGATCTTTCTAATTTCAAGCATACAAGCTTGACAATTTATTGTGGCATATTGTAATATTATAAAATAATCACCCATCTTTTACTATAATCAATACTACACTATTGCAACAATTTAATATGCAATTCTTGCCATCACTTTTCTAAAGTCATAAGTTTCAAAACTCATAATTCAATGACTAAATACAATATGTCATTCAAACTAATGCTAAAAGTTCAAGCAACTTGAACCATGCACTAAAGGCCATTTATTTCATTGA